TATACCTTTCCTCTGCATTTGCTCCTCTGTTTTCCCTGACCCACCAAAATCAAGTATTCCTAAGTATTCTTGTATACACTGATTGCTCCAAATCCACCTCCAGTGTTGGTTTCGCAGTAACCTTCCGAATTTGCACTTTCAAAAACCCCCTCCCTCCTGAATCCAGTGTCCTTACTACAGAGTTGTCCTCTTTGCCTTAAAACACATATACTCACTCCCTCCTTCCTCTTTCATTATTTTTACTGACTCCCATAACACACTCCAGTTTCATCCAGTTTCTGCTTTGACAACCTACTCTCCTTCCTCAGACGCATACATATCCTTCACTTGATGTAACCCCTTTACCTACTCCGACCATGACCCATTCATTCGTCAATTCCTTTGCCCAGCTTTAACAACTAACCACTAACTCAACCACCCTTCACTACCCTTTACTATACCTCCCAATAGTGTTACATGACCTTAAATGTCTAGCACATTTATTTTGCTTTTAACCATCTACCATTAACCACAACACTGGGCATGGCATGTACATACATGCCATGCCCGTCGGCATTGGTTTAATTGGTTCAGTGCTAATTGAATGAGTAAAGGCACAGGCTTCCTTTTTTTCATAAATAATCACCATTTTGAAAGCAGTAGGAGAGACTAGAGTATTTGCTTGTAGTAAGAAAAGGTAAAGTATAATTGTTGTGTGTGTGTTTATATATATGTATATGTGTATGTACACACACACACACACACACACACATACATACATACATATATATATATATATATATATATATATATATATATATATATATATATATATATATATATATATATACACATATATATGTACATATATATATACATATATATACATATATATATGTATATATACATACACATATACATATATATATATACATATGCGCTTATACATAAAAACAAACAACACACACACATTTCTGTGCATATATATCTATATCTATGTAGTGTGTGTGTGTGTATTTTTTTTTCTTTTCTTTTTTTTTATATATTGTAGCGTATCAAAATTCCAGTATGACCAATGGCGCCCTACGCAAATAAAGTAAATTATTTCAACCCCTGTTATAAGCCCCATGAGGTGGTAGCGTGGCGAGAGGAGCTGATTTTGGCGTGGGTTTGTTCCAGCATTACCCCCTCCGTCGTACAATAAAACCGCAACATAATGAAGTGATAAAAAATAAAGTTAAAACCATCTTTAAGAGTTACGTTAAAAATGAAATAAGACCAAAATTAGCAAAGATAAAAAGTAAAATGAAAACTTACTTTAAAAACGAATATTAAGCTCAAGAAAAACCATGCTGCATGAAATTAAAGTAAAACTAAATCATAAAGCCTAAACAAAGAAAAGCACTCGTAATTATAAATGATTATTATCGTACAAAAGTATGGCCACATCCAGCTCCTGTACGCGAGTCAAAGATACCTCAGACTTAACTTCATCTTTTGTAGTTTCCGGGGACGTAGAGCAGGTTTCACTAAGAAAAAATAAAGAGAAAATAAACGCCAGGTCTCTGCTGCGGTCTCTGCCCAACTGTTTATTTTTCGTGGCCATTGGGGGGTGAGGGGGTGACGGTGACTATATACAAAAAAAAAAACATTCATAAATAATAGGCAATTTAGTGTAAAGGAGAAAAATGTAAAACAATCACAATAATGAACGTGAGTAAAATGATAGATTAAATAATGTTTGTAAAAATGGTCACCCTAAACTAAAACATTTTATTTTATTTACTTATCTATTTTCTTTTTTTTTTATTTTTTTAGTGCCGTATCAGAGCCTGACGTTGGTGACCATGTTTAATTTCATGGTTGTACAAGGGAGTGTACGAAGGTGGTTTCCTGTTGCCTTCCTTCGGGTGATTGAAGAGTTCACCATCTCTCTACCCCTAATTCGCTCCATTGACTTTCACTATACACATTCACACATCCATTCATACCATCAGACAATTGAGATGAAGTTCCTTTTTTACTTTTTTTTTTTTTTTTTTACTTTTTGTATTTTTTTCTACTTTTTCTATTTTTTTCTTTTTCTCTTTTACCTTTCTCTTTCATCAAATATTCCTCACTAAACTGTCTTCTTCATACTGCATATATGGCCATCGAAGAGAAACTGGTCTCCGGCTCCACGCAGCGTCTTTGATCACCTGACAGAAATCCGAAGGGCAGGTCGAAGAGCGTCTTGACGGGGGTGCTTCGCTGGTGTGGCTGCATCTCGTTCTTCGCGAGGGCGCTTGTTAGAAGACTCTTTGAGGACGTCGTTGGTCACAAGGCACAGCATGTCTAGGCAGATGCCTTCGAGGACCTGAGTGCCACAATTATCATCGGCTGCCTTCAACTTCATGGCTTGCACAAGAAGGTTTTTGAAATCTTTAAGAGTGCTCGCGTTTTGGATCACCTTCCGCCCGGTCGTGAACGTGTAGCCCCAGTCGCTTTCGATTTTCTCGGGCTTCTGTACCATCAGGTACGTGTGTATGTCTGGGATGGACAGAATGGGTAGCTCCTCGTCAGCGCAGAAATGGGCCAGAACCCTGATGTCTTTTTTGAGGGGCTTCCTCTTCTCAGTCGACTGAAGGGTGGACATGATTCTCGTCAAGCGGCTGATGACTGGACCGGACGTGAACTTCGAACACTCCTTAGCGAATTGATTAAAACAAGGAACCTAAAAGACAATGAAAACTAAGGCTACATTTTAAAAAGTAATAAGTAGGCTAATCAAAGCGAAACGAAAACCAAAGAGAATGTACAAAAATGGACAAACTAAAACAAACAAAAAACACGACAATCAACGATAAAACCACTTAAGATAAGAGTAAAAGGGGTGGAATCCGGCAGGTGGAAGAATGCCGAGACGGGGAATATACGGTGGAGGGTGCTCGCTGTCGCGAGAGATAACGTCGCGCGTGGCGACTAGCCACATTACAATATATATAAGTATATATGTATATATATATATATATATATATATAGTATATATATATATATAAGTATATATGTATATATATATATATATATATATATATATATATATATATATATATATATATACATGAATAATAAAACATTACTGTGTTCATATTATGGTAGAAAAAACAACGCACACATTAGTTTCGAAATCCTCCTGGATTCCATCTTCAGTTTAGACCTGAATTTCGAAACTTGTTTCACTTTCAATGAGTTTAGTTTGTTCATTGTGATTTCTTCTTAACATATATAAATTTATAAATATATATAATATAAATAAATGTATAATGTATATATAGATATATAATATATATAGCTATAATATATAATATAATATATATGTATAAATATAAAAGATAGTAATAGTTATATAATATATATGTATATAAACATGTATACATTAATATGTATATAAACATGTATATATCAATATGTATATAAATATGTATATATTAATATGTATATATTGATATGTATATAAATATGTATATATTAATATGTATATAAATATGTATTTATCAATATGTATATATATAATGTGTAGGCCCTATATATAAATATGTATAAATGTGTGTGTGTGTGTACGTACAGCCCCCTGACTCTGACAACACCTTTCTCTTCCAACAATGCCTCAAAACGAACAGGCAAAGTTCCTTCCGCAGCGGGAACGACGGGGACGATTGTTCTCGCCTTGTCACAGCTAATATCCGAGTCCCAAGCTCAAGGAAACTGATTCATGCCCAGCCTTATCCTTGACTCAATACTTGTACCGGAACTGTCTCCATTTCTCCGACTGATTGTTCCGTCTGCGACAAGTATCAGTACAATGCTGCATTATTACCCCCAAGAGGCCGCCGTTAGTCCACCATTATTCCCAAGACTACTTTCCGTAGAGATGAACTCCCCCGTGATTATATTGGCAGAGCTTCCTGCCCTGTCCGACTACATCATCTTGATCTTGTACTATGTCATTCCCCGAATTCTTTCCCCTCTACTTCTCTGACATCTGTTTTTACCCGTACCCTTCGTTGATTTTTTATAAAAAAAGAACTCTTCTATACTGGAATATTCAGTTTTCGTTCTGCCGCCCCTATTTGGTCTAGTCGCCCTTAAGTCTCCCCTTTCTCTTTTGCTGCTTGCCTTTTCACTTGTAGCACTTTTAACTTTTAAATCATTAAGTCGTCCCCTCCCTACCTAACCCTTTCGCCACTATACCTTCTAGTGCTACATAGCCTTTGATGTCTAGCACATTTTTTTACCATTAACCGGTGGTGGGTCTAGGATATTAAGTGTTGGTGGTGTGTGTGTGTGGGGGGGGGGGGTTACCCCCTCCACATAATCTCTAATAAGTTGTAAACATTTTGGAAGAAGCTGTGCTATGTTATTCACTCTGTAACCGATATTAGTTATTACTGGTAAATACATGGTTAGGTTTCGGTATGGGACATAAATATTTAAAGCCACAAGCAAACGATGCTGAACGACACCAACGTAGTGACCTCTCTTAGACACGAAGGTCGACAAAAACATTCACAGTAAGAAGTGGTTTTACGAGTTATGTCTGACAGTTATTCACCAGCTTTCATATTTTTGCTAACAAAAATTTTGGTGTGACAAAGAAATTTTTTAGCTGGCAAGACTAATCACGGACGTTTCCTCTCGATGTGCATAATTTCAGATCACCTACAGCCTTTGTATATTTGAAAGTCTGTTCACGTTACTGGCGTAATAGCTGACGCACTAATTACTTAAGACCGCTCTTTCATTCTAAAAGATCAAGTTAGCACTCTCCCTGGAGTGAGCTAACTAGCTATTTTCTCTTCCCTTTTGCATCAATCACGTTTTATTTTTTTTCTGTAAGTATACACACAATGAGTCATCATCGTTAAATTTTTAGGTTTCTTTGGTTCGTTCGTATGATAAATTGAGGGATATATTCGTAGCAAAAGTACAAATGGAAAGGATCGGTGGGAACTAAAATATTAGTATTGAAATGAAATACAATGAGGATCTTCAATAATTTATTTATAATGCTTATATATGTATTCCTGAATATATATATTTCAAATAGATATGTGTAACTAAACGGTATGCACTGTGCATAATCATGAACACTTAAACACATGTATCTTTAGACACACACATATATAAATACTATATGCACACACACACACACACACACACACACACACACACACACACACACACACACACACACACACACACACACACACACACACACACACACACACGTATATAGATGTTTGTGTGTGTGTGTGCTACATACTTTATTTTATCAAATCCCACACAAATAACTAAAATTGCATGATTCCACGGCCCACATCAAAATGCTTCCGATGTCTCGCAAGATCACCAAATCATGAATAAATAAATGAATATGGGTATATACACACACACACACATAGAGAGAGAGAGAGAGAGAGAATGAGATAAGAAGACAATTATTGCACATTAAGATTTATGATCACTTCCTTTTCAACACACACAAGCATTACTGTCCCCAAAGCAGTATCTACAAAATCATGATTTTGAGAAATTTGGCTTTCTACGTGGTGTCGCCACTGCCTCTTGGCAGATACTGCTGATTTAAATCGTAAAAATCTTGGTAATTAAGGACATTTTCAGAATCTAAGGCGTCCAGCAGGTGGAGATAGGAGATTTAATGCCTATGGTTTTGATAATTTGGACAAAAATGTAGATACTGCTCTTTAACGTTGGGGGCAGAGCAGTCGAGTGTTTTCGTGTGTTTTCGATGCCTATGCCTATATAATATTAGTTACATTCAAGGAAAATCTTATAAAGATTAACAATCTTACGTGGAAAAAAAAGTTTAGTGCAATTCCAACCCCATTTCAGGGCCTTCAATTATTATTTTAAATTCATAATCTATACCTATCTAAGAGTGACTGGTGAATTTGTACATCGTCTCTGAGTCGTTGTTGTAAGAGTTCCTTCACAGAAAATTGAACTTGAAGCAATTGCAAGCATAGTGTAAAGATATTCAGTTCTTAAATATATAACGGAAGGGGAAAATATCAGTTATTCAAAAGATTAAAAGAATGAAGTACCACACTTTAGCGTGTTGCTTCTTCCATGTCTTCCATTATCATCATCTCTTCTTCATTCTTCTACCAAGAATATCGACTTCTACGTGTTAGATACGTGAGGTTTGGGGCCATGACCACCGGTTTTCTAAAAAATATATATATATATAGTCATGCTATACAATGACTCGTATAGCATGAATTTGCATTTTCAAGTTACAAAGCCGCCTGAGAGGCCTACAACGACCTCCAAAATTACCCTTTATTTTGTTGTCTGCCTACGGCAGTTCTGAGGATGGAAATTCAGAGTCTTTCTGACCCCCCCTCACATGACTCTGACCAACATACCCCATCATTTCACAACCATCACTTTCAACCATCATCCCCACTATAACGAGGAAGCCTCAATCTACCGTAAATCCCTCAACATGTGTATTCAAGGCTCGGACAAATCCTGACGATCTTTCCGTTGCGAGTGTAGAGGCGAGGCAACCGCGTAGACCAGTTTCCGGGCATCTCGTAGGTGGCGCCGCCTAGGTTCCTCGCCATGCCCACTGCCGAAGTCACGTCGTCGAAGTCATCGGTGAGGACTTGGAACACCTCACCAGGGGAAGGCTCTTCAGGGAGGCGGACGGTGATGGAGTCCATGGACACTCGACCCACGATGGGGCACCGTTCACCTGTTAATGATTAGAAAGGAGTCTTGTATTAGCGTGAATGAACAAAAGGAGTTATATTACTTATTGACAGAACCTAACACGGTAGCAAACAAGTAAAGACAAAATTTTATTACGTCCTTCAGCTGTTTGACAAACCTGTGTTAACTCTCTTGACCGCCCCGACGCCATTGCTGAGACGTCGACTGAGGCCATCTGACCACCCTGTAGTGAAGTTGGCGATCCACTCGTCTTCAGAAGTTGTGTACGTTCCGTCGTAGCCGATGTCTCGTCCCGCCTTCAGGAGCTTGTAGAAGGTAGGCCTAGTAACCACGGAGAATGCCGGTTGGAAGCCTTTCGTTGCGAACTGCTCCGTTCCTTCTCGGTCGCTACCTGGGGAGAAGAATGAACTTTTAGCGGCCATGCGTTTATGGGGGAATTGAATTTGATATTGAGAGACGTATACAACAGAGAGCCAGAGAAAAGAGTAAATGAAAGGGTCAGAATAGAAACAAGTGAGCCTCCCTTCAACAGCAAAAAAAAATTATCACAATCCTTAAAACAACGGTATAAAACCTATTTGATCGTGGGCTAACACATGCGACCCGAGGCTCATTTGCTGTCCCTAGCCATATCTTCTGGTTTACATTCTTTAAATGAACCTTTGTTTATTATAAATACAAAACGTTTACACAAACCTGAACACAAGCCCGTGATAGCTCCACCGGGTCTTATGAAGTCCAGGTCAGTCCCAAGGTCCTGCACACATCCTGTTGTAGCTGCCACATGTCGAGTAATACCACGGGACCTGATGTTAGAAGATCTGTATTATGTACAAAGCAGATTACACAATATCTAAGTAGAAAATCAAGATATTCATTAAGTGTAAATAAAGGTTCTTTAAGACTATCATTTGTTACTAACAGTGTCTCCTGTTAATACTTTTCATACATTCAGCTCGAAAAGTGAAAAGGTTGATCTACCGCAAAAAAATGCACAAAACCAGACGAAATTTATTCAGCCCCGTGTTACGAAATCTAGATAATCACAAAGAACCTTTTCCTTCACAGTCTTGTAATCTTTAGATGTATCGCTGTAATGCTCGTGAGTGTCAACAAATAATGATCAGAAAATCGGAAAAGAATACGGCTGACACTGTAAGCTATGATTCTCGTACCAATGTCTTCGTGCAGTTCTTAGGTAATATTCATCCGACTAAGAAGGTGTTGAATAAAGTGTAATAATGATTATGTGGTAATAGCAAGGATATTTATAGTAATAGTAATGATGATACATGACAGAAGTGGTGATAATAGTAGCAATAATAATTAAAAAAATACAAAAAAACGACGATGCTGCTGCTGTTGTTGTTGTTGATAATGATATTGATGATAAAAGTAGTAATGATAATAATAATAATAATAATAATAATAATAATAAAATAATACTATTAACTACAATAATGCTAACAATAACGACAAAAAGTGACAAAAATAATCATGGCAACAAAACCATTTGAATAAGACGGAAGAAAAATGCCAGCGTCCTCACGTGAAAGGTTCAGAAGCTTCGAGAAAGAGGTCGAGCTGTTTGCGGTTCTTCTCCCTCTCTGTGATGGCGGACTGGAAGTGCGTATACAAGGAGCAGATGCTGACTTCGAGGTCGTCCAGTTCTTGCACCAGCGCGGGAAGGTCCTCGGGTTGGACGCCGTAACGAGACATCCCCGTGTCGATGTTGATGGCCACTTTGAGTCTCGAGCCGTCCTGAGGAAAAATTGTGCTGTTTTATTATATGATTTATTTTTTTTTTTTATTATTATTAATTGTGTGTGTGATATTAGAATTTGGATATTTTTGTGGTGATGTGCCGAAATATGAGAACCAGTTTGGTAAATCTACTTAAAGTCAATGAACCACTTTTTCACTCACCGGATAAACCAATGCCTCTCGAGGTAGTGAGGTGAGGGCGTGCGACCAGCTGAGGGACGGAATGAGATGATGCTGTGTCACGTCGCTCACTTCACACGGCATTAGGTTACCTGCAGGAGTAATGAGGCAGGGTTAAAGAAAAGAGAAAGAAGGAAAAGGAAGAAGTTGAGAATAAAAGTTAATTAGCGTAAAAGAGAGTTTGAAAGGTGGAGGATGAATAAAATAGATCTGGTTATTTTATCGGAATATGGTGTGATTAAAGATAATTCTTGTTTATATTTTTAGATACACATTAATTTGAATAGACTCTAAACTGGCGGTACTCAGTACTGGGACAAACTGTGAAACTTATAGACTAAAATCTACAATACATGATAACTGCTGAATTGAGCTTGCATTTGGTCATGTACTCTTGGAATATCTTTACTCTGTTCTCTCTCTCTCTCTCTCTCTCGCTCTCTCTCTCTCTCTCTCTCTCTCTCTCTCTCTCTCTCTCTCTCTCTCTATATATATATATATATATATATATATATATATATATATATATATATATATACAAAATATCAGTGATAACTAGACTCACCTAGAACAGTAATAGGGACCTGTATCCCATGCCTCCGCAAGTAGACCCCCTCGGGCACTGTGGCAACTGATAATTCCTTCACGCCCTTCTCCAGGAGGACTTCCACCACCGGCAGAAGACCAGAGCCGTAAGCACTACCCTTCACAACGCCCATAATTTCTGTGGGTAAGGAAAACAACAAATTTACACAATGTGAACTTTAAGGAAAAAGTATGGTATATATTGTAATGGTCATCCGTTTGGAAGCATGTGTTTATCGCCATTTCCGTTTGCAACTTTACTTACATTCAACATCTAGACCTTAATTACATTTACACAGAAATATATTTATTTCACAGCATAACTAGTTCACTATATATCTTCTCATCGGTCTTGGTGACCCTCTCCAAATCTTCGCTGTGTGTCCGTGACTTGCCTGTATGAGATGAAGAAAGGCCCTTGAGAACATCGACGTTGTGGGCCACGGCGTCCAGGTTCACGTGGATGAAGGACGGCACTTTGAGTTGCGCGAAGGCGTCGTCCAGCAGTGGCAGCAGAGACGCCTTGGCAGGGCCGACGCGGGCTGTGGGGCTGAGGGAGGTTGTCGCTTCTCCTGTCATGGTTCTATGGGAGATGCGAGAGACTGGTGAGGAAGAGAAAAGGATGCGAGGATTGGAAGAAGTAGGGGAAGGAGGAGAAGCAGACGGGGTGCGAGGAGGAGGAGAAGGAAGAGACGTAGAAGGCGAAGGACCCTGGCGATGTGTATGTGAGAGTTCGAAGAGAGAAGAGGAAGATGGGGCTAGTCGAGGCCATACTAGTGGAGGTGCGGATCTTGCTTCATGCAGAAGTTTTATAAAATGCTTGAAATAGTTTGTTAAAAAAGTTCTTTTCATTTTCCTGTCGCAGAAGTGTTCCTTGTGGGAAAAGGCTTCAACTGTTGTCACAGCATTCCGTAGTCATCGGGAATTAAGGTCTCTAATCGTTGCAATAAGAAAGCATATAATTTTCGCGAAGCTTTCAGTGAAAAGTTTGTTAAGAAGTAGAGTCGAATCGAAATTTATTCCTGCGGAAGAGAATTGTCAGAAGTAGGAGAAATGTTTTTTTTTTTACTTTTTTCTGGTAATCTAACGAACATGTACTTACTCTCATCCTTTCCATTTGTTCAAACCCTGGGCGTTAGTTCTAATTTA